GGAACTCGTCTTTGGGATCCAAAAAGTTGGTTTTGATCTCGTCCCATAGCCGCGTGGCGTTGAATGCTCTATTATGAATGGCAAGGTGATGGTTAGGCTAAAGGAAGTTCAGGGTTGGAGCTCCACTCTCCACGGTGACGATAAAAGGGCGCACCACCGGAGTGGTGGATGGAGATTGGTTTAAAGAAGGATAAGGGTCAGATCCATCGAATGGGATGGTTGATGTCATCTCCATTGTTCAAATTGCGGGATATTGGAAAGAGCAGACGGATTATAGTAGGGAGATCGTACGAAGGGGAGAAGATCCAGTTAGAAAGGAAAACAGAACTCGCGAGGAAGAAAAATGAGCGATAATGACTAAAAAAGGTTTTAAATCCTTCACTTCGCCGCTTGACTGTCGTAATGATGTGCTTGTAGACGTGGGGCAGAGGGGGAAGTTGTCATGTCAACAGTTACGTCTCACCGCCCTTCAAGATGTGATCTTTGACATTCTTAAGGGGGGAGGCAAATTGTTAAGCCACAAAAATTTTAAAAATTAGGGTTTCGGTCCATGGGCTCACAAGGTGAAAATAAGTGCCCGAATGTCCAGTCAAATTGATGCGAGTTTGGTGGGCCAATGGGCTGCTTGGTTCTTTTGTTGGGTCATTGAATGACAAAGTCGAGAGCTGAAGACTATTCGGCCAGTGTTTCCGAAAACCAGAGAGCAGCACTAGCACATTGAAGTGATTGATTTAGGGTGGTTGAAGGTTGAGGTCTAACCGTCAGGCAGTTACACTACGATCCGGTAACCGAATCAAGCCGTCGGAAACGGGTATAGGCGAACTAGTAAATAGACGAATGCAAAGAGGAAAAAAAATCTGTCTTTCAAGAATAGAACTCCTCGACGTTGTTCTTCATTGTTTTTTTTTTCTCTTTCGTTGCTTAACTTTAATATTATCTTGACTAGTGTTTAAAGATTTGTAATATCAAGCACAACTCATTAAGTTCGAAATCTATTTTCGGATTTTACTTTATTTTTGTTGAATTTCCTAACATCAACAAATATTAAGATAGAAAAATACTTTTTAAAAATTTTAAAACTAGATGACACAAGTGATCTAAGACTTTTTAATGAATTAAAAAATACATTTGAACTTTAGATCTTTATATTGATATTATAAGAGGTCGATGTTACGATAACAATAACATAAAAGGTAAACACCAAAGGGTTCAAGAAATTATTTGATATAAATTCTAAAGCATTATATATGTCATGTGTATGTGATAGTCTTAGCTATATTGTTTGTGATATGTCACATTATTGTACGAAAGCAATTTTATTTTTTGGAATTGTTTAACGTATATATACATTATTTTCAAATTCTACAAAAAGATGAAAATTCTTACTTTATAATATTTCAAATTTAACTTAAATATTTTTTTTCAAATATTCGTTTGAAAAACCGAATTCAAAGTATTAAATCTATTAGATTTCAAACTCCTCAAATTATATTAGTTTTATTTAACTTAATTAATTCTTGTGATTATGCTGAATCAAAGGTGAAGAAAAAGTTTGATTAATTCATTATTTGGTTTTTTTATTTAATTCACATTAATTAAAATTTTTAAATAATAAAGAATTAAAAAATATTGTAATATATTTTCAATTGCTCTTCCCCGTAACAATGTATCTAATATTGACTTAGAGCATCCGTTACAGTTACCTCTTTCATTACTTTTATTATTGTCTTTTCAATTTTTACTATAACAAAACTCATTACCTTTAATAAGAAATACAATTATCAAAATTTATTACATATATCAAGAACTCATTACCCTCAACAAAAAAATAAAAATAAAAACAAATTAAAACTATCCAAAATTTTTTGAAATTTCAAAATTTTAAAGTTTAAATTTAACATAAATTATCTATAAATATATTTAAATTTCATTAACCAATTCTCTATTTTTTTCATATTCAATTAAACGAAATGACTAGTGAAAATACTAATATTTTCAATCCGCTTTGAAATTATGATGTTTTATGTTATTTTTAATTAATATGTATGTTGATTTATTTCGAATATTTTCAATTATTAAAATTTATATAGATTAATATTTAAAATTTAAAATATAATATTATATAAAAATATTATTAGATAATAAAAATATATAGATATATGTACAAATGAATAAATTATTTATATATATTATTACATAATTAAAATATATAGAAATAAATAAATTATTGTGGATTTATAAAATAGTAGTAAAGGTAATGTGTTAGAGGTAATTTATTATAAGGAGTGATAAATAAAATAATTTGAATGTTGAGATAAATATGATGTGGATGAGAGAGATAAAAGAGACAATTGGGTAAAAGTAACGACCATAACGGATGCTCTTAGAAGAAACTATTTCAAAATTAAAAGTTTTGCAAATAAGTTTACTAGATAATTTGAAATCGTCAATAAAATTTTTTTGAATTTATTAAAGTTGTATATTATTATTCAAATGTTTAAGTTGTTTATCATATATTATTAACTGCATTCATAACCATAGCATCGGCTGAAAAAAAAAATTTCAAAATTAAAATGATTAAAAACTTATTTAAGATTGTCTATGTTTATAGAGAGATTAAATGATTTAACTATGTTACGTATTGAAAAAAAATGTTAAATAAAATTGATATTATACCATTATTGATGATTTTGCTTTTAAAAATGCTACAAGAAGTTGTTTTATTTAATTTATTTAAATTTATTATAGGTAAAAAAAATTATATATATTTAGGGGCCTATTTTTATTTTTCGCCCCTGGCTAATTAACTCAAACCGAACTGATTGAAATTTGAAATTGAATTGGGATATAGTAGGAATAAAGTAGAAATGACCAAAATAATCTTATTAGTACGTGTGATATAAAGGTAATGACATTTGTGTAATATATTGTAAGTTGTAAGGGTATTTGTAATGTTAGATAGATAGTACATTTACTAAAAGAGGAAATAGATATTTTGTTATGCGACGGACTAAAATAGAAAAATAAATATTTTATTACAGATGAAGTAATTTAAATTTGAAATGATAAAAATAAAAAATAAAAAATAACCACGCTATATTTCATGCCACTTTGAGTAGGTTGTTGATTTAAAATTTATTAATACAATATTATTTATCTCAATCAACACATGAAAAATTATAAATAACATCTAAAAATATACTCCACCAACATCACATCCTGTATAAAATATTTATTTAGTACTGCAACCACCAACATTACGGGTGTATTAAATTAGTGATGCAGCCACCATATTTTTATTTTTGGGCCACATTACGAGTGTGTTTGTTTTATCAAATAATTTGAAAACAATTTTTTTAATTTTTTTTTTTATTTTTATGTGAGATATAAAAAATTGTACATGTAATATAAAAATAATAAATATGTATAATATTTAACTTTTTTTAAAAAAAAAACTTAGTGAAAAAAACAAAGCATTTTATTTCTAAGCGACAATACTACATTTTTTCACTTGTGTATTTATATATCATTCTTTTTCCTTCTCTCTGCTCTTCGTAAAATTAGAATTTAAGATGAAAGAATTTTGGGATAAACAAATACTTTCTCCGTTCTCAAAACAATAATCTCATTTTGTCATTTTTGTTTGTCTCAAATCAATAGTCTCATTTTTATTTTTATAAATAACTTTTTATTTTTTTACAAAACTATCTCCATTTTTTTACAATAATTACATAAAGTATGAGCATTTTTAGTTTTTTAAAAACACTTTTATACCAATTATCAATATAATATTATTATTTCTTAATTTTCGTGTCATTCCAAATATCCCTACTATTTTTTTTGAAGGAGGGAATAATATAGTAATTTTTATTATGTAAATGTAGATTTAATTTTAATTATTATAACTCATCAATTTTAAAATTGAATAAATGGCATAGTATCCATAAGTATTTTATTATAAGTACGCAAAAATACCCTATATTTCATTCATTATACTTTTTCAATCTCACAATAATGATACAATTTTCTATTTTTTTAATCCGTTCAAAACAAAAATATTATTTTTTAATATAGTAATTATATTACCTACTTAACATAACAAATACTGTTACAACTGATATATTACACAAATGTTATTACTTTTATATTACACCATACTAACAGGGGCATTTTTGTATTTTTTTAACTACAAACCAATATAATACTAAGAGTAAAAATCATTTTTGGTCTAGTCAATATCATAACTATCAATTTTGGTCAAATTAATTTTTTTTTTAATCAATTTTGATCTCATTCAAATAAAAATTTATTAATTATAATCTTATGATGGTTGACTAAGACCGAACACAGCCGTGTTGGATGACTCAGAAATGTGACTAGGCACTCCAGAGCCAATACGGCCGTGTTGATTACCCTGCACTGAACATGACCGTGGTCATGCCTCTGTTCTGAACACGGTTATATTCCTACCCATGTTCATATTCGTGTTCTGAACACAACTATGTTCTGTTTTCAACACAACCATATTCACAACTTTGTTTTCAATAGTCATATTGTAGGTCATATTTATTATTATTTTCAATTTTTTTAAAAAAATTATTTAATATATATTTATAATTCAACAAAAATATTATTTACAATTATTTTATAATATAAAAAATAATTAATTTTAATATTTTAAAAAATAATGGCAAAAAAAATTATAAAGATAATATATTCAGACCATGTTCAGCGTAGTGGAGCGCCCTTCTGAGTCATCCATATATACATGGCCGTGTTCAGTTCAAGTTAACCATCATAGACTAAAAATAATTATGATATTGAAATAGGACCAAAAATAATTTTTGTTCTAATACTAATATTAAAAAATTGCATGCAAAAAACAAACGAGACGGACGTAGTATGAAATTTGTGTAAAATAAATAAATAAACATTTGATCAAATCTTTTAAATAAATAAACATTTGATCAAATCCTTTATCGTATAACTTGTAAATATTAAATCACTGCTTGTCTATTTCATGTCTTTATTTGTATAATACTTTTACATAATTAGGAACTTCTTTACACCCAACATCTAACTTTGCACGGAGATGGTATTTTGTACATATTTTATATAATACAAGAGAATTTTATACAATAAAGCATATGATATTTTATGTATTTATAATAAAACACATATACATATACAACCTATGTCCAACCTATGTCCGGCTCTGAGAACTTATTTACTTTTTGCATGTTAATTTTTTAATATTAATTATTATATCAAAACATATTACAAATTAATAAAAAATTACAAAAATACTTCCATTAGTGTTTTATAATACTAATAGAAGAACATTTATATAAAAAATTATACAAATATAATGATATTTTTAACGTTAAGTATAATGACGCAAAAGATAAATGTGACCTGCGGGACGGAGGGAGTATGTATTATGCAAGTTACCTTTTGGGCTCAGAAAATTGATGTAAAGGTAAATCCCCAGGATAACCAGCCCAATTGTCATCCTTGACAAATGATAACTAGGCTCCAAAACTCTTGACTGATTCAGCCAATTGCCGATACATTTTTTATGCGAACCTACAGAAAATTGAGCAACGGTTGTTGGGAAATCAAGACAATATAGCTAACCATAAACATCAATATTGGGTATCGACCAGGGATCTTACAATTGCCCAAAGAGAACATTAACCCAAGCTCTTTTAAGCATCTTTTGCTACTGTTGTCTGAAGGGGTAGTTCACTTACTACTTCTACGCTCTCGGAGCTCCTTTCTGCAACAATCTTTGACAGGCCAAACATCTGTAGAAGTAAGAGCAGTGATTGCATGAGGCATTCTAGATTGTGCTGAAGTGAAATCTGAGTTGAAAACAAAGAAATGTTTACTAGGAACCTTGCTGATTGTCTTCTGGAAGCAAGATTTGTGTTCGTCTACTGATGCATGGATGAATTCATCAATGTGGTCTCTAACGTCTTCCAAGAATGTTGAATTTTCGCTTTTCTTCTTCCTACAGGACATCATTGCTGGAGTTGGAGAAGATATATACATATATATATATATAATGAGTTGACATGGGATAGCATAGCCATATAGAAGAGAATAACCAACAAAAAAGAAATTTGAATAAAGTTGGAGTTTGTATAGAAATTTGCTACATAACTTCTGGGAAAGAGGCTGCAAAGACGATAATAGGTCTAAGATCATGTTTTATTGAATTGATTATTTGATCTTTAAGTTGTAATTTACATAAAGAAACAATAATAATTTAAAGTAAACTAGACTTAGACAAGCTAATCCAACAACAAAAGCCATTAAAGGCTTATGGCATGCTTGATGTCTATATTTACATCCACTGTGGGATCTTACCAACTACCTTCGATTCGCATCAATTGTTCAACAAGGTTTTAAATGAGTTCAGATAAACTGTTTGGCAAATCCTGCACCCAATATGAACCGCTATTGAAATCTGTTCGGACCAAATTTCCTTTTTAATCAAACACTAAAAAGTAGCACTTTTAATCCCACAAGAATTGACTATTCCTATGTTTAAAAGGGAACCCAACCCAATTAAAATAACTTCTCCAGGCTATATCGCCTTCTCACTCCAGCAGCAAATATGGATCACAAAGAAACAGGAACTACAAGTAGAGCTTTGGTCTTTCATATGCTCAGGGTTTCTTTCTTGCTGTAGTTTGAGTGCTAATTGATAGTAATCAGTATATGATAAAAATATACATAATATATACTATAATTGATTTCAACACAATATTGCATGCATATTAACATAACATAAATGATGACAGCATGAGATAATATCCTTCCACCGTATATGACACAGAGTGATCTCAATTCTCAACACATAATAAATGTACAATGCATGATATGAAGCAACAATATGTAGAAGGTATGTTTCTTTGGGTGATTGACGTAAATAATATCATTTTATTCAATCTAATTATTTGATTACTTTAATTGATCACAATCTGGTATTCATTAAAGTCCGTTATAATAATACTCCAATTAGAGATACTTAGTCCTACTTAGATGGATGAGAATAATTTAAGCCGAGTAAAATTTGGACTTAAGTTTATATTATCCTATATTTAATCAAGTGTGCTAAATATGATCTTAATTAATCTTGTGATTATATAATCTATTGACTGTAAACAATAATGAATCATGCATGTATACAATTACAATGTTATAAAATAGGGCTAATCAACACCCAAGCCTTCCCCATTGAAAGATGAATGATAATGGGATTGTTATAAGAAAATTATTTTAATTTCCAATGTAAAGTGTATAATCAACTAACAAATTAAATACAGGGAAATTTACTTAAATATAACTGAACAGAAATATTGGATTATTGAATGATAAATTGGTAAATATAAACAATAATATATCCTTGAATGAAGGAAATCAAATAACCATTGTATGCATAAGAAAGCTCTACAAATCAATTATCAAATACCCAACATTTTCTTAAAAACAAGAAAATATCTATCAAATTTGGAGCAAATAGTAAGCATAAATCAGACGAACCCAACATTTTTTTAACACAGCAATCTATCAAATTAAACAAACCTAGCTAAGAATCATCTACAACTCAATATGTACCACCTAAATTAGCTAAATATGCTAAGTAAAATGAAATCCATTTTCATATCGTATATGACAAAAACGCACAAAAACACTTGTTGGATAATTCATTAACACCAGTATATTATTTCGATTTCCCTCGTTCCCTCGTTTATCACCAAGGCAGACATGAACTGCTACTAGATTCCTATAGAACGATCAAAATTCACAACCCGCCCACCCCATATAATTTAACCCTAGTTTTCTTTGTTATCATTCATCGGACTGCCGAACTCATTGTTCCAGAACAAGCAGGAACGACACACAGGAATCAAGAAAATGAAACGAAATTTACACGAGAAAGACTTTATAAATAGATAAATTATATTTATAAAAAGAAATAATAAAAAAAAAAAAAAAAAAAAAAAAAACAAATTGGTTGTCTGTTGAAACAAATACCTTCAAGATCTGTGTGAGAAAATTGAAAGAGGAAATATCTTCCCCTCCGAAACGGAAGAATCGAAATGACTGGAGGGCAACGTGGGCACGGAATGACAGAACTTCACGATGGGCCACATAGAATTTTGAAAATGGGCTTTCTTGATTTCAATTATTTTACGTTATTTTTTTTTATTATTTATTATTTTTTTTTTATAAAGTAGGCCACATAAAATTTTTTTTTTTTGAAAATATAAACTTAGGTCAAATCTAATACCTTTCAAATTAAATTTGACAAGATAAGTCACATCAGGTATTAATTAATTAATAATAATAATAATAATAATAATAATAATAATAAATTATGGTATTTTTTATTATTTTTTATATAATTAATAATATTGATAGTTTTAAAGTAATTTTATATACTTTTTCCTTCCATTATATGTAGCAACATATAAATTAAAAAATATGTATATTTTATTATAAAAATATAAAAGTTGTTGCGGGCATTTATGGAATATCAGGTAAGATGTAATTTAATTAGGGGAAAAATGATTAAATTAAACCCCATACTTGGGGTACATAGAAGTCAACTCAACATTACAACATCAAAGAGTTTCCCAAAAAATAATTGTAAGAAAGAAGTAATGAAACAACAAAATCAATAAATCCTCCCACCCTTGACCAAACTTTTTAGTTGATTTATTGCACATTCAGTGCAAAATTACTGATATATTTATACATTACCATTTCTATATTTTATACTCTACAACAAAATTGAAAAACAAATAAAATATCAAAATTGTTTTAAAGATACAAATAATCAAATAATAAAAACACTAAGTTTCCTCCAAAATGCAAAACATTACTTTTCATACAAAATACTACACAACATCAAAACACCGCACAACAGCAATCAAATTCCTAAAATAAATTTCCCTCATAAATTTTTCTAACAATATATTTAAATTTTTTTCTCCATTAACAACATTATAAAACAACACACACCACATTATAATCATACCATTGCTTATCCCATAATAATTTTCATCCTCAAAAGTTATTTACAATGGGAAAAAAATGCACCTAACTTTAGTGTTGATATGAAAAGTAAAGTGGTGCATATGTTACTTGAAGATTCTAAAGATGGAAAGATTTCAAGAGGCCGAATCAGTACCGTTGCTACTCTTTTAACATTTCGCGAAAGTCTGTGTCTATTGTTTGGATTGCTGCAAAAGAAAAAATGCAAAAAGATGAGTCAATTACTTTTAAACCAACAATATAGTCCAAGCACAAAGATGCAGCTCAAATAAATTATGCAAAATTGAAGAGTTTACCGTTTGTGAAAAGATCAACTTATCAAAAAATAGTGGCAGAAATGGGTGTAGGTAAGAGCATTGTTGGTGAATAGTTCAAAAAAGAATTAATCAAACCACACACCAACAAAATCAAGCCAGAGTTGACTGATGTGAACAAAATTGTAACAATGCAGTTTTGTTTCACATTTAAAGTATGACAGAGATGCCAATGTGATAAGTTTCAATTTTATGCGCAACATCATCCACATTGACGAGAAATAGTTCTACATAAGTAAAGAATGCAACAGATACTATATGCTTCCGGGCGAAGAAAGGCCACAAAGAACATGCAAGAGTAAACGTTTTATTACTAAATTAATATTCATGTGTGCAGTTGCTAGACCCATGTATGCATCGAATGGTGATGTCCTATTTGATGGAAAGATAGGTATATTTCCATTCACCAAACAAGAACAAGCAAAAAGGAATAGCAAAAATCGTGTTAAGGGCACCATACAGACAAAGCCATTAGAAACAATCACGAAAGAAGTTATAAAAGACTGTTTATCAATAAGGTATGCAATTTCCTATTGTATTTCATTTTACTCTATCAGCTATTCATCATCACATAGAATATTGCATAATATTAAAGAAAAGTTATTTTCTTCTAATCATAATTTCTTTTTTTATTTTTTATCACAGATTTTACCATAAATTAAAGAAAAATGGCCACCATTTGCATCGAAAGATATATTTATTCAACAAGATAATACTCAACCACGCATATCAGCGATGAAGATGATGATTTCAGGGCATCTGCAAAAGCAAATGGATTTAATTTTCATCTGATTTGTCAACCGCTTAATTCATCGGATACAAACATAAATGATCTTGGATTTCTCAGTGCAATTTAGAGTCTTTCCACCGAGACATCATCATATAGCGTTAATGATCTCACAAAAAATGTAACAACAATATTGGAAAATTTCACTCATACAAAATTAAATATTTTCTTTTCCTTAGCTTTGTAGGATGTAAATAATTGCATGTAAAGTAGGGAATTGTTATAAGCAACCTCACATGGAAAAAGAAAATCTAACAAAGAAAGGCCAACTACCAGAAACATTGAGTGTAGACTCTGTGTTAGTGAAGAACTGCCTTGACTACACACGAGAGGAAGAAAGTGCAATCCCCTAGGCGTACAAAGTGAAGTCCTTTTTAGAAGAGTTAGGTGGGTTATTGGTTCAGATTGATAGCATGAATATAAAAACATCTATTTTGTTTTTGCATCTGAAAATTGATGTAATTTTGAAGTTTAAACATTTTGGAATTGTTCAACATATAAGCATTGAACACCCAATCGGATGATTATATGGTGAACATCCTTAACCTTAAATGAATGTATTTATTTTTTATTTTGCTTTTCAATCCTTAGGCATATATGTTGTCAACCAAAAAATAAATTATGGAATTCATATGAAATTTTTCTTGAACACATAATCGCAATCCAAAAATTATTGGTTCTACCTACCTTCACTAGCCCTCAGATTTTCAACCTGCTTTGTAAAAACTATTCCATCGTAAGGAAATTTACATAATTTAGTTTTTCCTCAACTAATATGTTGGCTAAGCCTACTCGAACGAATTTTTAGAAAACCATTGAGTGCATCAACCAACATATTATTCAATCATTCATTTCAACCACAAAGGACACCAACATATTCATCAAGTTTGCCCCAAATTATGAATCAATTTTTTTACCATCAGCAAAAGCAACAATGAAAACAATATCGTTTAGAAAGAACAAATAATTGATCTAGGGTACAAAAAACACTTTTTTCAAAAGGTATCCATAAAAGATAAATTTCTACCACAATACGCCTTATTTCATGATTGAAAGGGCCACAAAAATCACCTCATATGGAAGCAAAATCGTCACCGAAACGGTTTTCGCCGGCCACCGAGGGGGCAACCACCGTCAATGGGACAGAGAAATCAGACTCTAGCACCACTATGTCGAAATTGGACTCCGGCCCTACTGTCCCAAAATCTGATTTTAGGGAAATAAAAAAATCCTCATTTTCAGTTATTGAAAATATTTTGGGAGAAGATGAGCATGAGTAAGCATTGGGCGAGTCACCAGCGGCCATATCCACCAGAAAAGAGAAACGATCTAGATCTGGGTGTGAATTTTGTGTATGAACTATGTATAACGTGGGTATGTGAGAGAATGTGTATATAGGTGTGTATGATAATGTGTATATTTAATGATTTGTGTGTTTTTAAAATAGAAAAAAAAATATATTTTGATGTGATTTCCCATTGATGGTTGCGGATGCGTGTATAATGTTGTTTGTATTTAATGCTATGTTTTGATATGCTCTTGGCTAATATGTTAATTGTAATTAATTACTAATAAGTAAGATTAGAACAAATAATGTTGGTTAATGATAATGGCAATGGATGTAAATAAATAATAAAAAAAGGACAATAATTAAATAGATACTTTTTACCAAATACAGAAATGGACTAATTTTATTGAACGGATAAAAGAGAAAGGTGAAAGTAAATATGGTGGACGGAGGGAGTATATGATTAAAAAAATTAAATTATATATTTAAATATTTTAAAAATTATATGTTAACAAAGAAATATATGTCATATGAATATCATTTTGTAGAGAATAAATTTTTTTATAATACAAATAAATAAAAAATACTTTTATTTATTTATAATTAATATAAATTAATTTTATAAAAATATGGAGTTTTAAATATAGGGTGTGTTTCTTTAGGGAGTTTGAGGAAAGTTGGGTTTGAGTTTGGTTTTTATTTGAATTTTGGAATGAGTTTGAATTTTGTTGTTTATTTTGTGTTTGGGTTTGGTTCGAGTTTGGGGAGTTTTGATGTGTATTGATTTGATAGATAATGAATAAAATAATATAAATATGTATTAAATTTAATTGATAAAATTTACATTGTATGATTTGATTATGAATTTATATTATACCCAATATATATATTTAAATTTTTATTTATTTGTATTATAGAAAATTTTATTCTTTACAAAATGACATATATATTGTATATATAGTTTTCATTTAATTATAATAAATATTAAATAAAATTTTAATTTTTTTTTTTTTAAAAAATCAAGTTTGGCACCCATTTTACTGTGAACAGTAAGTGTACAATAAAACTGGTTTAATTTTTTTTTAAAAAAAAATCAAGTTTGGCACCCATTTTACTGTGAACAGTAAGTGTACAATAAAACTGGGCCAAACCACCTTGGGAAAAAGTACCCATAGATAAAAATATTTATGTTTTTAGAAAAGAGATAGAAATAAAAGTATTTCGAGTGGGTCCTACATGATTTATGTGTTATATGTTATATAGTTAATTAAGATAATTTATATTTGTTAAGGCCCGTTTGGATTGACTTTTGTAAAGTGCTTTTGGCTTCTGTTTCTAAAATAAGTATTAATTCATATTTGTATTAGCTTCTCTTCAAAAACAAAAGCAGCTTTTAGGCTCCAAAAGTGCTTTTGTAAAAGCACCTGAGGGGGTGCTGTTGGAAAAAATAGAAGTAGTGTACTATCTAAAATTACAGTTTTAATCGTAATAATAATAATAATAAATTAAATAATAAAATAAAAATAAAAATAATTCTTTTATTTAAATATAATTGTATTTTAATTATTAAATTATATATTTTATTTTAATTCAATTTAAAATTTATGATTGAAAATATCAAATTTTAAAAATATAAAATTTAATTATATAGTAGATAATTTAATATTTTTAAATATAATTTATAAAGTTAAAATAATTTGTAACATAGTATTAGTTACATTTAATTATATTTTTCATTTTCATTTTTATAAAAAATAACAAAATACAAATATAGTTTATACATAAAATTTAATAAATATATTTTCAATTAGTTTAGATAATTAAAAATTTTAAATATAATTTATAAAATTCTAAATAAATTAGAAAATTTTAATAAAATATATGCAATATTTATATTATTTTGTAGATAATAAAATTTTATATAATACAAATAAATAAAAAAATATATATTTATTTATTTATAATTAATTGAAAACTAATTTTATAAAAATTGATTAGTTTTAAATATAGATAAAAATATTTTTTTTTATTGAGGAGAGAGATAAAAATAAAAGAATTTTGAGTGGAAGCTATATATAAGAAGTTATATATTTAATTGAATTGTTTTATATTTGTTACGTTTGTTTAAAATGAATAACTTTACTAAAAATATAAAGAAATCATCTTTAATGGAACGGACAAAAAACAAAAAAGAATCATCTGTGACGGGACGAAGAGAATATTTTTTTTTTTTTTTAAACGCATAATCAAGATAGTAAAGTTTAGGAAAATTCGAGAAAAGAAAACACCCTCATTGTATCCTTGTAAGATATAAAAATTGTATATACTCTCAGTGTTCACCAAGTATCCACGTACTTTTTACACATAATTTTACGTATATTAGTATTATATTAATATGTGTAAAAATAAAATAAAAAAGACGGAAATATGTTCAAACTATGCATATTAATTAAAATATAATAAACACCATATAATGTCACCCATAATTAAAAAAATAAAAATAAAATTAATGTACAGACATCTAAAAATTAATGTGCAGTCCGAACAGACACGATTAAATAAGAGTTATATGTATGCATACTTACATAAAAATGATTAATCCTTTCTCAGACTTCTGCTACAGCCTCCTACTTGCAGTAAAAAAAGAGTTGTGATAAATACTCAAATAATTGCATTTACCTTGCTTAATTTTAAACATAAACTTGCCAATCAAGAATAAAGCTCACCTCTAAGAAAAATCAGTGTCCAATCAAGCTTGAAATGTTTAGGTGGTAAAAAAATTTTCATTTCCCCACTGAATTTAGCTTAATCTCCCTCAAAAAATATAAAGGTGTGTATATCTGACAAGTATAAAAACAGACATGTTAACAACATTTGAAAATTTAAATAGCAAAAATTATTTTTTGTCTCATTCAATATCACAATTATCAATTTTGGTCTCATTCAAATAAAAATTTATCAATTTTAGTCCCAAATCGGTTGACTGGGACTTAACACGGCCGTGTTTGCTTGAACACGGCCGTGTTGAATGACTCAGAAGGTGACTGGGCGTCCCTGGCAGCCAACACGGCCGTGTTGGTCTCAACACGGCCGTGTTGATTACCCTGCACTTCTGAACATGACCATGTTCCTGCCCGTGTTCCTGGCTGTGTTCAGAACACAGCCATGTTCCTGCCCGTGTTCCTGTCCATGTTCTCAACACAGCCATGTTCTAGGCCATCTTCCTGCCCATGTTTTCAACACACCCATGTTCACGACCATGTTTTCAATATAATCATATTGGATGTTATATTTTTTATTATTTTCATTTTTTGATTAAAACTATTTGATATAAATATATATATTTATAATTCAAAAAATATTTTTTTATAATTATTTCATAATATAAAAAATAATCAATTTTTAATATTTTAAAAATATATAAAAATAATAATATATTAATATATATTTTTAATAATCATTATATATATTTTTAAAAATTTATAGTAAAAATTTTAAAATATTATTTGAAAATAATTATTTTTATAAATTATAAATTAAATTTATTATTCAAAATAATATTTTAAAATAAATTTCCTCCACGTTGGATGTTTGACTTACTATAACACGAAAATTTATAATAAATATAATTAGTAAATAATTAAAAATGTATTAGTGAAAATAATTATCATATAATATAAATAATTATAAATTAAGATTAAGATAACTAATTAAAATAAAAAAATTAAATTAAAAAAAGTGTGTAATTATTTTTTAAAAGAAAAGTGACATGTGATGTGTGACAGACAGAAATTGCAATGTGGACATAGTAAGTGAGACGGAGGGAATTATTAAAAATATATATATGAATATATTATTTTTTTATATACTTTTAAAATATTAAAAATTGATTATATTTTTATATTATGAAATAATTGTAAAAAATATTTTTGTTGAATTATAAATGTATATATTTATATCAAATAATTTTAACCAAAAAGTGAAAATAATAATAAATATGATCTACAATATGATTATATTGAAAACAAAGTTATGAACATGGGTTAGAACATGACTGTGTTGAGAACATGGGCAGGAACATGGCTGTGTTGAGAACATGGATAGAAACAGGGGCAGGAACATGGTTGTGTTCAGAACACGGCCAGGAACACAGCCAGGAACACGGCCGTGTTCAGAAGTGCAGGGTAATCAACACGGCCGTGTTGAGACCAACACGGCCGTGTTGGCTGCCATGGACGCCCAGTCACTTTCTGAGTTATTCAACACGGCCGTGTTCAAGCCAACACGGCCCTGTTCAATCCCAGTTAACCGATTTGGGACTAAAATTGATAATTTTTTTTTTTGAATTGGACTAAAATTGATAATTGTAATATTGAATGGGACCAAAAATGATTTTTACTCAAATTTAAACATACTTTTGCATTCAACATGACAAAATAAAAAATAAAAACTTACTATCATCTAACTCAATAACAAAGCATAAATTTTGTTGTTAAACAATAGACATGGGTGTTCGGCACATGATAAAATAAAAAAAGCAGTAAAAATATAAAGTATCACGCATTACAATAAGAATAATATGACAACATACAATACAACAATGACGTAGATCCGGCCACCTCCTCCACCAATTTCACGCCATCAACCACCGAATCAAAGAAAAATTCCGATTCGCTCTCTCACCATCTCATACAATGATTCAAAGGAAATATAAACCTATTTAAAGGGGAACACCATTTTTTAATAACAAATGTAAAATATTTTAAATAATCTTTTTAATAAAATAAATAAAAATATAATTGATTAATAGTTCATTTTATAAAATATATGTCTCCAAAAAAAATTATAAAATGAACGATTAATCAATTATTTATTTATATATTTTATTGAAAAACTACTTTTAAGATATTTTATATTTTTTATTTGTATAATTAGATTTGTATTTACATTCAAATTTGTTTTGGACGAAGAGATTGTTTTGTGCAAACTTTTAATTTAACACAAGAGGATTTTAAGCAATAAATATAACATGAAGTGTTTTGTGCATTTTTACTAAAAATACAATGGGGTGTTATATAATTTATTTATTTATTTAGTAAAATAATACACCTCTTGTCCCAACAAGGTGCAACATTTGTTTCCGGTATGAAAATTTTGGTAGATAGTATTAAATATGGTAATTTTTTTTTGGATGAGCCCAAGTGGACTGCCTACGTACCCTAAACGGGAATCAAACAGTACATAGTTCTCCTGGTACTAGCAATACAGTCAAGAACAAGCACCTCAGCCTGCTAAAAGGTCTAAGTCTAACATAAGTAAACAAGCGTAAAAACTAATAGAACTAAACATGGTAATGAAGCAAGCAAAAGCTACTAAGTAAGACTCATCAGTAAAGCAAATCATGATACCAAGCACCAAATCTAAAGCTCGGGACTCAAGTTGCATCTGCCCGAAGAAAGCCACAAGCCGCCGCTGGGATTTATGAAGGGCTAAGGATTCGGAAACCCGTGATAGAACAAGTTGTTGTCGATAGCACATCTGCCACTCGGTTTCCCTTTCGATAGATATGGGAAATCTGCCAAGTAGTGTGGGATGATGCACGCAACTCCCGACGGTCTAGGATTTTCCAATGATGTGAGGTAGAGATTAAATATATTTAATTATTTTCTATTTTAGAAATATTGCAGAATGTTTGGGGCAGAAAAAAAAATATGAGTCCACCATCAGACCATCCCTTAAAGGACAATTTTTATGTAAAAATTATATTTTCATTTTCTATGTTCATTTCTCTTTTTAATTGTCATAAAAATGTTTTCTTTTTCCGTTTTAGCAAAACAAGTACATTCTTTTATATTTTTTTTAATACAAATAAATTAAAATAACAATTATTATTATTATTATTTATTAAAACTCGTACTCAAATATTTGACCATACAATTGAATAACTGATGAAATATTACATAGAATTAGGGGTGAAATTTGGATTTTCGGTTTGAATTTTTCTAAATTCGAATCGATAAGAAAATTCGAATTTTTAAAAAAAATCAATCTGAATCGTGTTGGGAACACACAAATAAGATAGAGAAAAACAAATAGCAAGACACAGGAATTTGACGTTGTTCGGTCTCACAACATACCTACATCCATGATCCCAAAACGGGATAATCCACTGAAATATTTATTACAATTTTTGCACGGACAAAATTTTAAAACCCTCCTCACAACAACTCACAAAATCTCAATCTCACTATTTCTAGTTACTAAAGAAAAAATGTTCGTTGTGATGTCTTAAAATAGGACCCAAGTGGGTCAATTCATAAGAGCCAATGTCCCCACCTTTTTATCACCCTTTTTACGTGGGACGTGAGAAGTTACACAACAAATCCTCCCTCTTCCCATAGTCTCACATATTTCGACTATGTCAGAAAAACAAACTCTCTTCTCGATTTTCTGATTCTTTATATCATTACTGCTCTCCACATTTGCTCGTAAGGCGCATCCATCTAGATAATAGATACTATTTTGTTTCTTTTTCCCTTGCATAATCAAGTTGTCACCCTTGTACACTTTGCATAGATTGCTAGTGCCAACATATCTATATACATGTGAAGCCAACTCGCCCAATGAAATAACATTAGCTCTAACAGTAGGCACATACCTCACATTAAAAATTGTTCTGACATTACTATTGTGGAGCTTCAAGCGAACTCTTCCAATACCTTTAATTCGCTGCTTCATCTTATTCTCTATATTGATATAGTCAAAATCTTCATTTGTATGCAAAATATCAAATAAAGCTCGATCTTTACATATATGGACATCACCCAATTAGAATTCTCAATAGAATTTGTATTTAAAAAGAGGAAAACACCTTCATAACTGACCACATTCGCGGAGTTCTCAACTTTCGACTTACCTTTTAAATTTCTCAGACTTCTCAAGTATTTTTTAAAAAGTCAACAGTGATTTTGAATATGATCAAACTCTCCATAATAATGACACTCAATAGAGCTGTAATCTTTAGGCCGAGATTCCGATCTTCCACCACGGTCACTCTTCATTTTCCTCTCTCTTTCAGAACCCCCCACAGCTAGTATTTGTCTATCCTTTAAAGTGTCTTTATTTTCCATTATCTTGTCATTCTCCTTAGAAATCGTTATCGTCTCATTCAATTTCAATGTAGTTTTCCCAACCAACATTGACTGCACCAACGGCTTGTAGGATTTGGATAATGAAACTAACAAGAGCAACACTGATACCATTTGTAACGTGCCGGAAGCTGACACGCCCGGCGCCCAGGCCCAAACCAGCCGTCCCTTGTGCGCAACAAACATGGGTATACCATATAATGCGGGAGAAATAAGGCGGAACAAATACCTGCACCAAGACATATGTCGTTGATTAGCTGTACAGGACAGGGGCTTGCACACATGGGACATACTATGGCCGAGAACCTAGGGCAGAAATCTCAATCTGTGACACTCTCCCCCACTCCAAGTCGCAAACGCCCTCGTACGATGCCACTTGAGTGCACCGACGTTGTTTCTTACACGCTCGGCATGCCTCTAGGCGTCACTCTATTGACCCTTTCGCGCGTATCACTTTTTGTGCTCACCAAGCACTAGCGAAGTTTTCGCACAGCCGACCCACAACTTGCCCACTCCGCCGCTCATATCCGTACACTATTCGGGACACCCATTTTGCAGCTTTTGCATTTTTGCCCGAGAATCGTCCTTAACGTGGTTCCTCCTCACGAACAAAGCTCGTCCATCCACCTTGGCGTACCGGCATGGTCAAGCATACTCCTTCTCAAGGAGCACTCCCCTCTAAAATGTCCAGCCTCGCTTAAATATGCTCTTCCCTGGCGTGCCACCAGCATGCTCCCCTTCGGAAAACTACTCACCTGTCTGCTTCATTCGTCACCAACGTCAAGGTCGGCTCTGATACCACTGTTTGGATTGGGCCAACTTAACACTAGTATGATATTGTCCGCTTTAGGCTGCGCCTGCACGGAATTGCTTTTGGACTTCCTCCAAAAGGCCTCATATTAGCGGTGTTGATGTGAGACTGATAAGGTGTAAGATTTTCTTTAAATTTTCCAATCTGAGACTTGGGTTTGCACCCCAATAATTATCCCCTCAAATTAATGACCAACAAATAGGTCTTTGCTGCCTACTTTGCACCATCTATCATAAAGAGACTCGCTACCTGACCAACCACAATTGTCGGGACTGGCCCAACCAACAAATGGGTCTTCATTGCCTACTTTGCACTGCTTATCACAAAGGGACTCGCTACCTGACCAACCACAACTGTCAGGACCGACCCAATGCCAGGAGACTTTCGACACAAGATATTTTCGCAGATCACGAAGGCTTCCCACAACCACAACCAATGCCCGATGTCACCCAGTCCACTCTACCAACGAACCGGACTCTTAACATTTGTTATCAACACACAAGGGAAGATAGAGAAAAACAAATAGTAAGACACGAGAATTTAACGTGGTTCGGTCTCACAACAGACCTATATCCATGATTCCAAAACGGGATAATCCACTAAAATATTTATTACAAATTTTTTACGGAAAAAATTGTAAAACTCTCTTCACAACAACTCACTAAATCTCAATTTCACTGTATTTAGTTAGTAAAGAAAAAAATATTTGTTGACATGTCTCATGGAGGTGAGTCAATGATTTTTATCATACTTTCTATATGAGATATGAAAAATTACACAACAAATCAAACTGAAAGTTCGAAATCCAAAACTCTAACATCCAATTAAAAAATCGGAATCAAACTCAAAATTCGAAATAATCCCAACTTCTACTTTTTTTTTCTATTATTTTTTATTTTCTAATTTTATTTTATATTGTATAACTATTTTATAATATTAAATATATAATAAATAAAAATATATTAAAATATAATTAATAATTTTGAATTTTTATTTTATTAAATATATCATAATAAAATATATTTAAATATTATATTTTAAATTTTAAATTAATTTTAATTTTTAATATATCGATTCAAAAATTTAAAATTTATAAAATTTGAACTCAAATCAATTCACAAATCAAAAAAATTTAAACTAAATTTTAAATTTAGATTTTATTTGGATCGAAATTTCAAATTTCGATGTTTTGCTCAACCCTATATAGAATAGACAATATAAAAAATCGCAAGTACAGTAATAAGAATATGGAGAAATTTATCCGTCAGATTGTTTGATCCAACGGTCACACAGAAACCCTAGTCGTACCAAGTCATCGCTCCAGATTATTTATAACACCCACTTCAATGGCTCCTCTCTCTCTGGTCACCCTTACAGCTCTGCGATTGTCGCGCCGCTCTGTTAGTCATCTGGTAGAATCTCTCTAAGGTGAGTCTTATCTTAGATATGATAGTTGGACAGCTTTATAGGAATTTGTTGCACGTCGATACATCTTTTGTGTTGTTTTGATTTAACCTGAATGGAATAAGCTATGGATATTTTGTGGATTTATTGTTTTTGTTTTTTTTTGCCTGTTCTGATTGCATTCAATATACAAGAGATCGTTAACCTGCAGCTGGTTTCCTGAAATTGTTTATGGTATCTGACTGAATTTTGTAAATTTGATTGACTTGTTGATTTGAATAGAGTTTTAACATTGTAGTTTGGGTGTCGATGTGTCTTTTGTGCATACAGTATATTTTGTAAATATCAAATTGTATAGTATCGCTCCATTGGATGTATAGAGTTTGCTTTGTTCTGCTGTTTTGTTGTTCATGATTTTCTTAATATAGAAGCAACTTTTACTTTCTTCTGTTTGCGCAACTGATTCTATACCTGTAGTGCTTCTATTAGCTTGAAAACTGTCATTTTTGAGTTCTCAGCTCGATGATTGCAATCTTCGTATTTTGTTTTTTGTTTTTATTTGTTTTTATGGTTTTTCTCCTTCTTTTAAAGCGCTGTATTTCATAATTTTCCTAATTTTCTAACTGCTCCTGAGTGCTGACTATAATTTTATTGTAACATTTTCTGAAGAGTTTATCATGGGTAAAGAGAAGGTTCACATTAACATTGTGGTCATTGGCCATGTGGACTCTGGAAAGTCGACGACTACTGGTCATTTGATCTACAAGCTTGGTGGTATTGACAAGCGAGTAATCGAAAGGTTCGAGAAGGAGGCTGCTGAGATGAACAAGAGGTCGTTCAAGTATGCCTGGGTGCTCGACAAGCTGAAGGCTGAGCGTGAACGTGGTATTACCATTGACATTGCTCTGTGGAAGTTTGAGACCACCAAGTACTACTGCACTGTCATTGATGCACCGGGGCATCGTGACTTCATCAAGAACATGATTACCGGTACCTCACAGGCTGATTGCGCTGTCCTGATCATCGATTCCACTACTGGTGGTTTTGAAGCCGGTATTTCCAAGGATGGCCAAACCCGAGAGCACGCATTACTCGCTTTCACTCTTGGTGTCAAGCAAATGATTTGCTGCTGCAACAAGGTAAAGTTTTATAAAACCAAAAGCTATGCAATTTTGAATATTTCCACGATTAACCCGCCTTAAGATATATTTGACCTATCTACATCGATGATGTGTAGATGGATGCTACCACACCAAAATACTCCAAGTCAAGGTACGACGAAATTGTGAAGGAAGTTTCTTCCTACCTAAAGAAGGTGGGATACAATCCGGACAAGATTCCATTTGTCCCAATCTCCGGGTTCGAGGGCGACAATATGATTGAGAGGTCGACCAATCTTGATTGGTACAAGGGTCCAACTCTTCTTGAGGCTCTCGACCAGATCCAGGAGCCCAAGCGCCCATCAGACAAGCCTCTCCGTCTCCCACTTCAGGACGTTTACAAGATCGGTGGTATTGGCACTGTACCCGTGGGCCGAGTCGAGACAGGTATCCTGAAGCCCGGCATGGTTGTAACCTTTGGCCCAACTGGTCTAACTACTGAAGTCAAGTCCGTCGAGATGCACCATGAGGCGATGCAGGAGGCTCTACCGGGAGACAATGTCGGGTTCAACGTTAAAAATGTCGCCGTCAAGGATCTCAAGCGCGGCTTCGTGGCCTCCAACTCTAAGGATGACCCGGCGAGAGAGGCTGCAACTTTCACTTCACAGGTGATCATCATGAACCACCCGGGCCAGATCGGGAACGGGTACGCGCCTGTGCTCGACTGCCACACCTCCCACATAGCTGTCAAATTTGCTGAGCTCGTCACCAAGATCGACAGGCGGTCGGGAAAGGAGCTGGAGAAGGAGCCCAAGTTTTTGAAGAACGGAGATGCCGGGTTTGTTAAGATGATCCCGACCAAGCCGATGGTGGTGGAGACGTTCTCCGAGTACCCGCCGTTGGGGCGGTTTGCGGTGCGGGACATGCGGCAGACGGTGGCCGTCGGAGTGATCAAGAGCGTGGAGAAGAAAGACCCTACAGGTGCCAAAGTCACCAAGGCAGCTGCCAAGAAGGGTGCCAAGTGAGGTGATGATTCTGAAACTCTCGACAGTTTTGGATATATATATATATAATATATATTATATACATCTCTTTTAATTTTGAATGAAAGCTATTGAACATGTTTGAGTAGCGGAACAAGATTTGTGATGGGAGATTAAAGATTTGTTTTGAGCAAATTACAATTATTCTGAGATATTAATATAATATAAAAAATAAAACTATATTTATTTGGATTTTTAATTTGACATATTTTCTATATTAGCTATGAGCAGCATTTTGATATTTTCGTTAATATTGTAATTAATATTAATAATATTTTTATATCTGTATAATTTTTCTTTATACAAATGTTCTATTTGTAATTTTTTTTATACTATGATATAATAATTAATATTCAAAAATTCTTTTAGTTGTTTGATTAGTAAAAAAGTTTGGTAAATTAGATTTTTAAAATAATTTATTGGATCCAAAAAATTAATTTCTAAAAAATTATATAACTCAGCATTTCAAAAGAGGTTTTTCACTTTTATTTATTTTATTCTTTATTTGCTTTTAGAATTTATTATTTATTTCACATACATATAAATATATTTTGTATTGTAATATTTATTAATTATTGAATATATTTTATTTACTAAATTATAATTTTATTTTTACAAATTTTGAACTAACTAAATTTTATATGCTCCCTTCGTGATTTTTTTAATATTAGTATTATAATTGATTGTAGTGAAAATGATGAAAATACCGTTATTAATATTGTGTAATATAAAAGTACTGATATTTTTATAATATAGTGCAAGTTAAAAATGTATTTATTATGTTAGGTAACTAGTATAATTACTAAATTATAAAATGGTAATCTTGTTTTGGGTCGAATGAAAATGAAAAATGACAATATTTCAATGGGACGGAGAAAGTATAATCTATTTTATTTGTAAAATATATAAATTCGTTATAATTAAATATAAAACTCCCTCCGTCCAGTTAGAAAATATATATATTTCTATTTTGGGACGTTCAATTATAAAGTAAATATTTCATTAAATACTTCATTTTTTTTCATAAATACTCTTACTTTATATCACATCGTTAGTTTTACACCAAAAAACAAAGACAAAAATATCATTTCACTATTTTTAACTACTCACTATAAAATACTATTATTTCTTAAACATTGCGCGAAAAGTAAATATCTATTTTGTGTGTGGACGGAAGGAATAGAAAATATAAATATTATAATTTTCTTATTTGTAATTTTATATTAAAAAATTAAAATAGAATGTATTTATTGAAAATTATAAATATAATAAATTAATCAATAATAAATAAAATAAATATATATACGAAAATTTTATCATTTTATATTTTAAAAAATTCTCAATAAAAAAGTATTAATATTTTTAATAAAAATATATTATTTTTTGTAATATAACAATAATAAAAATAACTTTTTAATAGCAAATTTTTTAAGAATTTTAAACCTAAAACAACATTATCGAATATTTTAAGAAGTAAAATGTAAATATAAAAAATTAAACAGTTAATATCAAACAATTGATTTACGAAACTTTTTAATACAATCATCTAATTCAATTAGTTAGTCAAACTAACTAAGAATTAGCTAACCGCTCATTGCAAAACACACCATTAGTTTCTCTTTTCAATAATAAATCTTAAGTTAAAATATGTGTTTAATGTGATATAAATATTTATTGATATGATATTTTGAATGTGATATTAAATTTTATTATAATATAATAATGAAAAATAAGTTTTTAATTTAATATTAAAAAAAACTGAAATAGTAAAACAAATTCAAAATTTTAAAAATAAATACTTTTAGTATTCAAAATTATTTTATATTTTTATTGTTAGTTATTGAGAATTGTAAAAATATTATTAAATATTTTATTATACTATTATTCTATAAGAGAAATAATGTATTATTCATTCTATCCCGTAAATTTATTTCCATTCTTTTGTATATTTATAAAAAAATTAAACTAAATTTGACGGATGGGGAAAACATTATTTAGGAACGATAATTATTATTTTATAAAATAGAGCTGATTTATAAACTCATTTATCACATTTATCATTATTAATAACTAAATTCTATTTATATTTCATTTTTTTTTATATTTACTTTTGAATGAATTTTATGTAAAATATTATTTAAATTAAACAATTTATAGTCTTTTACAGTTTAATTACATTTAAATTATTAAAATTAATTTTTTTTGTTACCTAATTACTATTTTACCATTGATACAGTATATATGTTTTTAAAAATTAATTTTAAAATATAGAATATTCAGTATAAAAAAATAAAATATAAATTATTATTAATTTAATATTTCACTAAATAAAAAATAATTTTTTTAAAAAATATTTCATTACAAATATTCCATGAGTTAATTAACTATATAATACATCATTTTTTAACTTCGTGATCAAAAAAAAATTTGGACTAATTTCATAAGGCAGAGGGAGTATATTAAATTTTTTTAATATAAATTAATTGATATTAGTTATAGACATATAATATTTATATGTATTATATACTTCATCCGTTCAAACTTAAAGTACATTTTTTACTATTTTTGTCCATCTCATTTTAAATTATTCATTTTCTATTTTAGTAAAATTAATCGTATATTAATATCAAAATACTTTTAACTTTTACTTAAATTACAAACATACTATTACACATTTTCACTAATTAGTAAAGTGCTATTATTTTTTCATTAATTACAAAACTCCAAAAAAGGTCTCTTTGGAGTGAGCGGAGGGAGTATAATTATACACTAGAAAGTAATATTCCCTCCGTCCAAACTCAAAATACAATTTTATTATTTTCTTCCGTCTCACCGTAAAGTATCAATTTTATATTTTAGTAAAAATAATCATACACCAATACTAAAATACCATTTAACTTTTACCTAAATTACAAGCATATTATTACATATACAATTATTTTTTACATAAAGTCAAAAGACAAAAATATCAAAACATCTTACATACCTCAACCTCCACTAATTAATAAAATATTATAATTTTTTAATTTACTATAAAACCCCAAAGATTCCTTTGACCGACACGGAGGGAATATATTTTAAAAATATTCATTGAAATATAATTTTAAAAAATTTAACTTGTATTCCCTTTTCCATAATTTTTTTTTTCTTTGTTATTTTTTTAAAATATAATATATATTACGTGATAAGTAGTGTATGTTTCTTTTGATTTAATTTGAAATTTTTTTATTTGAGTATGATATTAAAGTAATGTATTATAAAATATTTTGTGATTTTTTTTTAAAGAAACACAAAGTTTAACTAATAGGGTTTGAGTGCAAAAGAAACACCACATTGACTACACAAAGTTTTTATTTCAAATGGTGACTGAATTTCTAGGAAGTGGATTCGATGCTGATGGGTGCCTCATGCTGATAGAATATAGATCGTCCATCACAATAAATAAATTTAGATGGTTTAGATTGAAGAGGGTAGGATTGTCTTTTTAAGTCTAAAAAAAAAATTGAAGGCTGAGTTTATATGTACTTAAATATCTCTTTCTTTCTACTCCATCTTCCTCTCTTCCCTTCCCCTTTCTCTCTCGCGATCGACCGAATCGCATCGAAAATCGCCATTGCACAGCGGTGGCAGCGCCACCCTCAGCCCTAGCAGCAACAGCCATATTCTTCTTCTCTATCTATCTCTTCCTCCCTTTCTTCTTTTTCCTCCGAACAGTTGACCACCAATTGTCCAGATCGCTACCGAAAACCGTTGTTCTTCCTCCAACCTAGGACCTGTCATGAACCACCACCGTTGTCCAATTGACCCGCCGCGAACCGAAGTTTATTTCGGCATTTTCTAATCTGGTATTTTGATGCTTCATTTTTGTTTGGATATTAGTTTAAATCTGCAGCGTATATGAAAACATATTTAGAGTGTTTTTTTGGGCAATTTCTGGATAACACTCATAATGTTTGATAATACAGTAACATGCTAAATACAATACATAGAGATGCCTGTTCATATTAAATAAAATGTTGGGTTCAGAATATCTAAATGCTTATTCATCTTTTTTCTATTTGTGTTAATAGATTTTGGAAAGTATGTTTAGAATTTATTTTTTATGGTATTTTCTAGATAACATTTATAATATTTGATAATATAATAACATGCTAAATATAATAAACAAATATGTTTATTGGTATTCAGTAAAATGCTTAGTTTAGTATATGTAAATGCTTATTATACAATGTTCATAATACTTTGCAATTAAATCATGTGCACAAAGACTGATATGTTGTTGGAATTTTTTCCCTTAGTGCTGGAGCCATAGTCAAATCTTGATCCGTAAAAATAATTTTTTGTGCATGACCACCCATGCACTTCAAAAAATTATTGAAAACTTACTTGAATGAGTCTTGTGTTTATTCATACAACAATGTTACCTCAAATATAAATGTTTGACTGTGATTATTGAATCCTACGAAAACACCTGATGTTGCAGTATTGTTACAATCCAATATATGAAAACACCTTACGAGATGCTTACGAGATGTTGTGTACATTGTATCAAGATGCTGATTTATAGAAAATGAAATGCTGACTATCGAAGTATTGTATTTGATGCGGATTGTTTTTGAATAATGGACAATTGATTTTGTTCGTCTCTATCAATTTCATCTATTTATTTTGTTGGAAGAGCCTTAGGGATTTTTCTACATGAAGAGACGAATGAGAATGTAGGTCTAAGTTAGTTATAAAAGTTAGGGAAATTTGATAATTACTATTAAACTCCTAAATTAATACAAGTCTTAGAATTAAAAATTGTAATCCAGTAATTAATATTGAATCAGCATCATGCTGAACTTTATAGTTCATCACCTAATCCCAGCCCAAATTTCTAACTCCAATATCAAACAAAAACCGCCAATCCTACATTTGTGGTGTGATTTTTCTTTTTAGTATTTAATTTTCACTAAAAAAAAAAGTTGTTTTCTTTTTAGTGTGTATTTTATGAGATTTTGATGGTTAGTTATTAAAAATTGTAAAAGTACTTTTAATAATTGTAATATTATTTTGGTCAAATAATTTTATCATATTTTATATTTTGAGAAAAAAAAATATATAAATAAAATTTTGAGTTTATTAAAAATGTGAAAACAAAACAACAAACTAAAGCATTCTACTGTCTCTATCATGGGTGCATTTGTACGAGGTTTGAATTTTGAATTGAGATTT